GTTTCGTTTCCTTCCTCCTACCTACTACTACTCTCTCTCTACTACACTTAGTTAGTGTTGTTCGTCTCTCTCTCCTCCTCCTCCTCCTCCTCTCGTGTTGTCTCTCTCTCTCTCTCTCTCTCTCTCTCTCTCTCTCTCTCTCTCTCTCCTCGGTGCCTGCGGCAAAACCCTGCCCTGCCCTGCCTCCTCCTCTCTCAATGTGATTGTGCTTGTTGGAAAACCATCACCCTGCCTTGCCTCTTCCTCTCTCAATGTGACTGTGCCTCCAACAACTTCCAACCCTTGCAAAACCACAGCAAAACTAGGGTCTCTCTTACCAGAGCACCCTCTCGTTCTCAAGATTGCTGTGCAATCTTGCGCGCAATACTATTGAACCAAGTACGCTCCTCCTCTCTCTCTCTCTCGGCTTTAGTTTTCTCTCCCCAATAGAGGACCATGCCGATAAATAGTTCCCAATAATGAAGCAACATATTCGTGACCCATAAGTGTCCATGCTGATAAATAGTTCTCAATAATGCAGCAACATACTCAGGAGCTTTGATGTTGGGTACCACTGGTTCAAATAGGAACTTGACTCAAATCAGTGCCATTTACTCATGGAGCTTTGATGTTGGGTACAACTGGAGAACTTGCATTCTATGCCAATTGATCCAAGGACATTTGAAGTGAAAAGTTAAAGTTTTGGAGGGAGAATAAATGTAATTTTACAGAACTGAAGCTGCACTTATTTGGGGTATAGGCATTGGAGCCATAGCTGCAGTTTCCATATTCTATTTCTTTTTTTTCTTTGTGTATTCAAGGAAAATCACACGATTTCTTTTGTTTGTTAAGTTTAAGAATTCAACACTCTTTGATGTACAACCCTTCTCTCATGCCTTTTTTTCCTTTTCATATTGCCCTTTTAAACTATAAGAGTTCCCAATAATGCAGCAAGACTCAGGTCGATATTTATCAGTGAGAAACACCTTGTGTGCTAGGTAGCTTTGAGCGACTGGACATTTCTTTACATACAGTACATAGTAAAGTAAATATCCATGTGCTCAACCTGATAAGGATCGCTTCGTAGCAATTCCTCAAATATCAATTCTGCCTCATCAAACTCCCTTATATTGTATTGGACAGTGGCAACTTGGGCTTGAATATAATCACTAAACCTGAAAATTCCTTGAAGAGAGTCATACTTTGATAGAGCTTCATTAAACATTTTGAGTTCTAAATAGGCATTAGCGAGAAAGAAATCTTTCATCCGGTGGTTTTTTAGGTTGAGAATGTTTAAGAATCATGCAAATACTAATGCTTAGATTTTTTTATTGTTTATTTCATAATTGACACTTCTATAGTTCTCCATATATCATATGGAAAGAACCATGAGATTAATTTGTTGGCATAGGATGTAATTTCTTACTTTTTGAATAACATATATGAAAAAGTGTACATTAAGTTATGCTCAAGTCTGTTGGTGATTTTAATAAAAAAATTCCTTATGTGCATCAAAGAATCTCTTCCTTAAATTATTTAATACTTGCTATATAATATAATTTCTTCCTTATGTGCATCTAAGAAATCTCTAGAAAGACCGACCACACAAAGGCAAGTTTGGATAAGCACTGGAGGGATTCTCTCTGCCCTTCCTGTTGTCTAACGTTAGAACTAATTTTTGAGTGTTTTTGCATTTTCTTTTAAGGAGAACACATTGGATATTGTGAAGTACAAAATTCATTCATTTAAAGAGAAATACTTTATGATTAGATCTCCTTTGGATTCATTTAAAGTGAAATGCTTTGTTAGTCATAAGTTCATATAGAAATTTTGTTTTTTGTAGACTGATTCAAGTACTTGAGATGGGCCGATCCATTTCAGGCAGTGTGTCATCTCCCACATTGTCAGATCAAGACAACATGGGGGATGACATTGAACCCGTCGAGCAAGATCACATGCTCATAACCCCCCATAAGAAATTTACAAATACGAAAATCAAAGAACCCCAAATTGGAATGAAGTTCTGAATAAGTTGCATGTGAATATTACAGGGCATTTGCATTTGCACATGGGTTTGGCATTCGAAATGGAACTACACACAATAATAAGGATGGACAAAGAATAGACAGAGAAATTAATTGCTCTAGGAAGGAGAAAGATGTCATACGTAAAAAGAATATCCCTCAATCAAGGTGTGGATGCAAGGCTAAGCTATGAATAAGCTTAAATTCTACTGATGAGTGGGTGGTGACTAAGTTTGTAAATGATCACAACCACGTCCTTGTCAGTCCAAGGAAAGCTAGACTAATTCGATCGTACCGAACAATATCAAATGCAACAAGGTTGATGATAAATTCTGTGAGCTTTGCTTTGGTGAAATCTAGGAATATTTATGATATTTTTACATAGCAAGCTAGGGGGATTGAGAATCTCCAATACTCATAAAAAGATATCAAAAACCAAATAGTAAATAACCTTAGAAAATTGAAAAGAGAAGATGGCAATCGTGCTATGCAATGACCGTACGAAATGAAAGAATCAAACCCTTCATTTTTCTATAGGGTTAAATTAGATAAAGATGGTCATCTAATCAATATGCTATGGGTAGATGCCATGTCAAGGGTGTTGTACCTCCACTTTTCAGATGTGGTGACTTTTGATATGACATACATGACAAACTTATTTGGCATGCCCTATGCTCCCATACTTGGTGTGAATCACCACTTTAGTATAACCTTTTTTGGGTTTGTACTTATATTTGATGAAAAGATGGAGTCATTTGTATGGGTATTTAAAACGTGGCTAGAACCAATGAGTGGTCATCAATCTGGTGTAAGTATCACTGATCAGGATCATGTAATTACTACTGCAGTGAAACAAGTTCTAAAAGAAAGTAGGCATCACTATTGCAAATGACACATACTTGCAAAGGAGAAAGGAAAATTGTGCCATGTATTGCATTGACATCCCACTTTTCTAGAAATTTTTAAGAAGTGTATAACAAGCCCAGCCGTAGAAGAGTTTGAGACAGATTGGAAATACCTTATTGAAAAATATAATCTTCAACAAAATGAATAGCTCATTAGAATATACAAATGTCGAATGCAGTGGGTTGATGCATATATTGCTGATGCATTCACAGTCGATATGTCAACGACTCAAAAAAGTGAAGGCGTGAATAATCACTTTAAGATATACTTAACTCCCACAACAAGCTTGCACTCTTTGTTGGAAATTACTCAAAAAGTACATGAAAAGAAGCTTTACAAAATGAGGGAGATTGACTTACAGAACATCAATTATACTCTTATTTTGAGGACCTCTACCTTCATAGAGGCGCAAGTTTTGAAGATCTATACACACAAAATGATGAAGTTTTTTGGGAAAGAAGTTGCAGATTCCACAAATTACAAGATTGAAGCCATTGAAGACAACAACACTATTGCCACCTGTAAGGTGACAAAACCTGGAAGTAGAACAAGGGTATTTGTTGTGGAATTCAAAAATCATAATCAAATTGCTTCTTGTACTTGCCACTTGTATGATAAGTTAGGAAGTCTTTGCAAGCATGTGCTTGGAATCTTTTCGGTGGATAATATTTTTGAGATCCTATCACATTTCATAATGAATCGATGGAAAAAGGATGTGTTGAAAGGGGCTGTAGTTGATGAAAGAGGCAAGAAAATTCAAGTATCTTTTGATCTAGCCCGATCCATTCGTTATAATGAACTTTGTCAAATGGCTTGAAAATTTGTAGAGAATGCCTCAGAAAGTGTCGAACTCTATGAATTGATAATGTCTGATTTTCCTGCTACATGTGCAAAAGGTGATGCCAATATTGCGAGTATAGTAGATTCAAGTGATGTTAATAAGAACCCCAGTAGCAGCATAAGAAATGAGGGTTGCCCTCTTCAAAATATCCTTGAGCCCCCATTGGCACGAACAAAGGGACGACCTTGTTGTACAAGATATAAATCTCGGTCTGAGGTAGAGTCAGAGGAAGCTAAGGCAAAAGAAAATGATGGTATTAGAAAGTGTGCAGTATGTAAGAAAAGTGGACATGACAAAAGAACTTGTCCATCATTCGCTCATTCAAAGTATGCATAAATAATTTCTCCATCTTTGTACACTTTATAAATGTAACATGGATTTATTAAATGTTTATAAGGTGTTTCCTTATTGCATGTTAAACGACACTGTGGTAGCTATTGATGGGACCTGTGAAGACATGGAACATATATAGTAATGGTGATGAATCATGTAAGTGTTGTGTTATATGCTACTGAATTTGTTGTGATCTAATGTTATGTTGTGTTGTTTAGAAATACGCTACATACATTAATGTGATGTAATGATCTTTTATTACAGGAAGTAGAGATGGAAGTGTTGTATTGTTTGACATTTTTGCTGTCTATCATTCATAATAATTTACAGTATGCAGCTCTTAGTGCATTGAGGAGACTCCCATTGGATCCGGGGAATCCGACATTCCTTCATCGAGCCATTCAGGGGTATGAAGATTTTAATTTTATATTCTTTGTAGGCAGGATTGGATATGGTCCATCTTGCCATTAGAATGAAATTTCGCCTTCTCATTAAAAATTAGGTCAGTCGCGTCATAATTTTTTAGTTGCCATCTCTTTGAAGTTTCAATGTTCATCCATATTGTTTCCATTTTTTTATCATTCATTTGCTTAACTGGATTTACAAATAAATTACATGGGTTGGTACATAAAGTTTATATGTTTGCATGCCTTTGAAATGGGGCTTGGTATATGGTAGAATATTAGACTAACCTTTCTTTTCCTTTGTGTGGTTTATTTGTTTTGTTTTCTTTTGGTTGCAGCAAAGCATGTAGGCCCAAGAGGTGGGTTTGCTTCTTAATTATTCTTTTAGTTGTCCTATTTTCACATATCTATAACTGGATAATGACTTATGCCAATTTGTGTTGTGTTGTTTAAAAATACGCTACATATATTAATGTAATGTAATGATCTTTTGTTACAGGAAGTAGAGATGGAAATCGCCTTTCAATATTCAAGAAGAAGCTAAGAAGAGCCAGAAGCAGAAGTACAATAATTAGGCCCTAGGACCATTTGTTTTGAGCCTGACTTTGAAGGACCACCCATTGGTGCCTGTCTCATTCGCTTCCAATACCAAAGCTAAAGGGCCAAAAAAGCTCTTACAGTGGCATTTGATTTTCTAAAATGCCCCCTTTTTGTATATTTTGGCGTACTTAATGTACAATGATGGTTCACATATAAAGCTTCTCAGCTTCTCTGTTTTTCTTTACTTCTTCTAGTAAGAAATTGTTTATGATGCAAGATCTGACAGATCTATCTTGTGAAGATCTCTCAGATCTGTCACCTTAAACTTGTGAAAAAACAAAAAAATAAAGTGGTAAAGAAAGTGGGACAAATCAAATTCAAATATGAGGCCAGATCTGCCTAGAAACGAGCAGATCTGCTCTCAGATCTGTGGCAGCACCAGCATGATCCAAAAACATCCAAAACACGATTTTTAAGCAAATTAACCAAAACATATCAAAATAAAATTAAAATAGTAAAGTAAGAATAAAAGAAGGACGTAAATAATACCGAACCGGGCCGGATGGCGCGGGACTCTCGAGCCTTCTAGGGCTCACCCGTATCAAAACCAGTCCTCTTGTGTCTCTCTGATTCGGATGTTGACCAACAAATCTCGTCAGCAAAGGGTTTTTGTGCCCTAAGTCTAGTTTTGATCGAGGGTTGTTGTGCACTAGGTGTCAGGCTTAAGTGTTAGACTCTCAGGAGGCTAGGGTTTCTATCTCTCTGAAGCTCTATGCTTTCTATCTCTATCTCTCTCTCTCTAGAGTCTCGATCCCCCCATCAAATGACCACCAAAAGAGGCCTTATAGGGGTCAAAATCTGCTGGGAAGGATATCCTCATATAAGGATATCCTCATATAACAAACCCATCCCCATCCAAAAAAATGAATTTTGAAGGTCACGGATTTGGGCGACACAGGCCATGCCTCCTGGGTGACACTAGCAGTGTCGCCCAAATATGGGTGACACTGGGCGTGTCTCCCAGTCTATGCTAGGCAACACTGTTCGTGTAGCCCAAGTCAAAAAGTGTCAAAATTGAAATATATTTGTTTTCTCAGGTGTGTTCCTTTGCCTCTTGTGAAGCTACCAAAAAAAATTTGGGTCAAAACGGATTTTTTTTTACTATTTTTAATGATTTGTTTAAAATGGGGCGTCTACAGTTGCCCTTCTTTGGCACTCACTGTCCTTGGAATGACAGATGAGTGGCAAAGAAGTTGACACTTTGGCATTCCCTGTCCTTGGAGGGGCAGGTGAACGTCAAAGATCTCTTCTTCTTAAGGCCACGTGGTCAGAGGGCACACCAACTATCCCTGCAAGTCATTGCGCTCACCGAGCTCACCTACCTAGGGCATTTCCATTCTAAGGTTTTTGCGCGTGAGATGTCGGTGTTTTACACAAGCTTGAAACTTGTGTTGGATTTTCTAGCCATGCCAATTAACTTTAGGGGTTTTACAGTTTGAAATTTTTTAACCCTAACATCTTCTTTGATTTCCTTAGGGTTTCCTAAGGCTGTATATAAGTTTAGGAAAAAAGAGGGTAATGCAGACATTGAAAATTTGTTCCTGATGTCACGTGGTCAAAGGACACACCAACTATCCCTCCAAGTCATTGTGCTCACCGAACTCACCTACCTAGGGCATTTTTCCTCCTTAGGTTTTCGCACGTGAGATGTCGGTGAGTTACACAAGATTGAAACTAGAGTTGGATTTTCTGGCCATGCCGCCTAACTTCGTTTCAAATCTGCAAACCTGCATTTTCTTGGATTTCCTCAAGATTTCCTAAGGCTTTCTACAGGAAAAGGCTTTCTATAGGAAGAGACTTGTCTGGCTGAATCCGAAGTGAGAAACTAGGTAGCAACGTGGCAATCGTCACAAACACGGTAATCACCATATACGGGAGTTCAAGCTCCTTCGTTTTAAAAGTCGTTTTAGAAATTTTGAAAGTAGGGGGATTTTTCAAAAAAAGAGAGATTTTTCAAAAAAAGAGAGATTTTTTCAAAAAACAAGGTTGGTTAGTAGTTTTTACTCCTGCAACCATAGAGCCCTCTAAGCAGTTTAACGTCATACAACGATGGACGGTGTAGTCAGCAGTTATACTCATACGACCGTGGAGTTATTATTAATATTATTATTTGCTGCTCTTGTTGGGGGTGGTTTTCTTTTAGTGTAGGTCTTACAGTTTAACTACTTGTGACCCCCTTTGGTGGACCCTATGTAAGCGTATCGGGTCTTTGTTTGAATCTTCAAGACGAGGAATCATCAAGTATTTCTTTATCTTCCAACCTCAGCTCTTGTATTGCAATTCAAATAGAGTTCTTGAGAGTTTCGAGCAAAATAAAGCGCTGAAAAAACAGGGTACTACCCGTAGGTGTTCAGAATCTCTTTGGATTTTCGATTTTGTTCTTCCACACTCACCCTTTCAAAGTTTCAATGTTCTAGGTCCTTAACAACGTTCCACCAGGCTAATGCATATTGATTTTCTTTTAGCATCGTTTTGCCTCGAGGAGGAAGAGGAGATGTTTAGAGAGAAAAGACTTTGGAGAGTAGAAGGAAGGAGAAAACTTCTTTTTTTTCATCGCCCCGGGGTCCCTTTTGGGTGTTCAGCCCGGTAGCCTTTTTTTCAATGCCTGGGGTTCCTTTCAGATTTTTAGCCTAACGGACTTTTTTTAAAAAAAATTTGTTTATTGCTGGGGTCCCTGTCGGGTGTTCAGCCTGGCCTTGTTTCCAATGCTTGGGGTTCCTTTCGGATCTTCACCCCAGTGGATTTCTTTTTTTTTGAAGAAACAATGACAAAGAAAGAGGAGGAGGAGGAAGAAGAAGAGTCAAGGTGCCTTTCCTTTTTTTTTTTTTTAGAAACTCGCCTTAAGAGCACGTAAGAATTCGATCATCTTTCCCTCCTCCAAGTCGTAGAAAGGTTTTAATATCAGTCTTCCTCTGATTTCCCTTGACTGAAGTTGACATCCAACATCTTTTTTACAATGGTTGCTGAATCTCTGTTGAAATTTTCCTTTAAACTGCTACATGAACCTTGATTTTGGGACTAAAAATAACTCTCAGTTTCCTAATCCCTTAATCTTCTGTATGGACGGTTAGGCTCATCAGGGTTTTCCTGTCAATGGAGTACTTCATGTCATACATTAGGCGTTAATGACTTTTGGAGTGTGAGGTATGAATGCCTTATTTGGTTATTTGCATGGGGTGAGTGATCACCCAACTCCTTTTCGGTAATCCTTTTCATTGCAAATTTCAAATTTCTTTTCGAAGGTTAACCCTGTGATAGGCTCCTTCTCAGTGCTCGAGCTTAAGTGAGACTCTCGCACCATAAGAGTGATTAAGTTGGTACTAGATGGCTTTACTACATGTTGGGAGTCAATAAAAAAGGGTTCAATCTCATTAGTTGCCCCCGTTGTATTAAATGGCCTTATGGCGTGTTGGGAATCAACAAACAAGGGTTCAATATCATTAGTTGTCCCTATTGTATCATCTTCATGAGAGGATTTTGCCCCTGTTAAATATTTTGATGGGGTTGTCCCTGCAGGGCTTTCTATTCCGTTGGGAACTTGTTCATCACAAGATGTATTCTCTTCATATGGTGGTGCTCCGGTTTTCAGAGTTGTGCTCATGTCGTTAATGACTTTTAAAGAGCCTGCCTCTTGAGGAGGTAACACAGTCAGATTTGCAATATCCAATTCTTACTCTTAAATTAGTGGATCATTTAAGAAATCTTGTGACGGTAGCCCAGGTGGGCAATTTCCAAAGGTTTGAGCTCTATCAATTCTAGTGAAGATACCAAATCTTTGGGAATAGTCATATCTGGGCTCTTTACTTTTCCATCATTTATAACTGGGTTCATCTCGAGAGGTGACTCGATTAAATCTTTTGAGCTTGGCTCCTCATCCCATATAGGTGGCTTGGCTAAGAAGTCTGGTGAAGGTGGCCCAGGTGGGCCCCTTAGAATTTTTGAAGGTTTAACTTCTTTCAATATTTGAGGTGTTGGTCCCTTGTTTGGAAGCATAATGGGAGACTTTGGGATGTTGACCCCTTGTTTGGAAGGTGATCTCTTCTCGTTGATCTGGAACATGTCAATTTCTAACACGTCATCCTCATCATATTGATCCCATTTAGGGGGGTCGTCAAGGTTTTGAGGTGAAGGGCTTCCTTTTAGTACTTGCTCATTTGCCCCATCACAAGTTATTGTCATAGAATTAAGATTTTTCTTGTCGTCATTGGCTTGGGAATCCATAGCTTCAAAACCTTGGTTGCGCTTATGCTTGAGTTCATATTGCTCTTGCGAGTTTGATTCGTTACCACACATGTATGAACCATTTATTGTATCAACTTGAAAGTACGGGTTGAAGGGTTCATATGATGGGGGTTTCTTGCGCCAATTTTGGGAGAGTAGCTTGGAGTGGAATTATGTGCGATACCCTTTTGTTTTTCCCTTTCTTCGGTTGTAGGCTTGGAGCTAAGATCATCCTCATTGCTTTGATCTTGAGTATCCTTAGTCATTAACTCTTGGGTGCCAGTTAATTTCTTCCTATGCTTTAAGGCCTTGTAGATGTTCTTCGGGTTTGAGTACAGCTTGTGATTCTCTTGAGTTAATCAAGTTGACATCAGTATTCTTTGTCGAGACATCTAGCGTTTTTTATTCCTCTTTACTATCAAGATCTTCCTTTTCGACACTTATCATGCCCTTATCGATGAGATCTTGAACTTTATGTCTGAAAGCTCGACATTTCTCTGTGCTATAGACATAATTTTGATGCCAATCTCACCATTGAGATGTATCACCTCCATGAAAATGAGGAATCTTAGCTAATGTTGGTAATTATATGAGCCTTGCCATAAGCAAATTCTTCATGACATCGGTCATAGGCTCATCATTGGGAGTGAATTCCCTTGATGTGGAAGTTTGCATTCTCCATGTAGTAGAATGAATTTTAGTCTTTCCCTGTGAATGGTTTGCAAAAGGGTTACTTTTCTTGATCATGTTCACCTCTCTTTCTTGAGAGGACTCTCCACCAGTCGAGTAATCAAAGACTATGGTCTCATCCTTCTTGGCTCGCTCATATCATGATACTCTTTCAAGCATAGCATCAAATGAGTGAGGGACTGCCCCCACACTGAAGAATGTGACATATTCTAGAGTTATATTTTCTAATGCCAGGCTTACCTTCTTGGCTTCAGGGAGTGGAGTTTCAATGACTCGCATAGCGGCCTCTTTGAATCTGGTTATAAACAGGGAAGGGGACTCTCCCGACTTCTGTTTGGTGGAGGTTAACTCACCAAGAGTGACAGGTCTTAGCCTTCCTCCACTATAACGGGAGGAAAAATGCCTAAACATTTCGTCAGGAGTTGCTTGAGGGTCCTCCTTCATGAATCTTCGATGCCACATCAAGGGTTCTTCTTTTAAGCTAAGCAAGAACATGACCTTAAGTTGGTTAGATCGGTCTCATAGTGTATGGACCATCAATAAGTAGGCTTTGATGTGTGCCTCAGGATCCTCTTTCCCTGAAAATCTATTTCTGAATTGTGGCATCACAAACCCCACTGGTAGATCTTCTAGTTGGCTCGATTGTATGGTCTGTTGAACTTGATTTTGTGGTATGTGACTCATGTGAACTAGCTGTTGGACCCATGTAGCGGGTTGCCCTAAGGACTGAGCCTGAGGAATGTGTTGAACTTGATGTGCTGGTTGTCAGCTTGTAGACTCACCCGAGTTGAATTGGGTCAGAGCATACCCATTCCTCAGAGGTTGCACAACTTGGCCATGTAAGGAGGCCTGCAAGATAGGATCACCACTTAATTGGGATGGACGACTCAAGCTGCTATGATGACTAGACCTCTGACCTTGGGCGGCTAGGTCTATCTGACCCTGACCTTGATTGGATGATCTATCCCTAAGGTTAGAGTATTATATTTCTCTAGCACTGGACTGAAAGAGTGAAGGAATGTCATGACTACTGTCAGAGGGGGTCTGCCCTCTAGGTAATCTTAGGCTCAAAATGATGACTAGAACTAGACCCCTGGCCCATAGTGAGTTGAATTGGCAGACTAACAACCCTAAGATTATCCTGTTTTGATCCAAAATGTTGGACTTGGCCTACGGCTTGAGTTTCTGATCTGACTTTCTTGGATTGAGTGCGCTGGATGGTGTATCCTCTATTGAGCAAGTATTGAAAGTAAGCATGCACTTTAGGAATGTCTTTGTATTGAGTTAGGTCAAAACCCTGATCTTTACTGGTGATGGGTTGCTCGGGTAGACCTTCCCTAGTTTATGTGAACCCACTCGCCCACTAACTGGCTGATTGCCAAGATTGGAATGTTGGGCTGCTAATTGACCATCCGGGTTCATAGGGCTGAGATCGACTGACTCAGAGATTTGTGCAGAGGTCTTATTCTTGTTGTGCCTACTGGATTTGAGGCTAACCCCTACGTCTTGAAGGATTGCCCTTGACCTGGCCCCTTGACTATTCAAGGTATTACGAACCTTATTAAGCTGTTGACTTGTGACTTCCAAATGATGGTCCTAAAGGGGGCTTGGACGGTTAGGTTTGGTTCCATGCGGGTCGAGAGTTGGCTCACTAACACAAGTGCTATGGATGATTTGTGAGGGAGCATTGTGACGGTGCCTCTCGGACTGACTAGGTTCTCTAGATCTAGACTGAGCTGGGGTCATAGGGTTGGACCTTACTCTGCTTTGATCCCGGGTCATGACTCCTAGACTTAGTGCGAGCTAAACTCGATTGGATGAAACCTGCTAGACTAAGCTAGACTAAGATCTAGGCTAGGACTAGATTGGATGAAACCTGCTAGACTCGATGGGTTTTGGTTTGAACTCTGAACTAGGGTAAACCTAGTCTAGCTCTAAAGGCAATCTCTATGTTTAGACCTATGTTAAAACCTAGACTAAGACCTAGACTAGACGGGTATGAGTCTTGGCTTGAACTAAGAGTGGGTCTGGGTTCGGACTAGATGTGGACCTGGTTCGAACCTGGACTGAGCTGGGTGTAAGCTTGGTCTTGGACCAAGAGGGTTTTGAAGATCAGACCGGGTGTGGACCCAGACTAGATCAAAGATGAACTAGGAACAAGCCTTTGGCTCGGACCAAGCCTACGGCTCCTACCAAGAGGGGGCCTATGTTCGGACCTGGACGTAAACTTGGTTTGGACCTGGGCTGGGCTGAGTATTAGCCTGAATTTGGACTCAGAGAGTTTTAATGATCAGACCAGCTGTAGACCTGGACTGGATCAAAGTTGAACTAAGAACGGGCCTTCGGCTTAGACAGAGAAGGAGCCTAAGTTCGGACAAAGCCGAAACCTGGTTTAGACCTGGGCTAGGCTGGGTACAAGCCTGCACTTGGACCCAGAGGGTTCAGCTCGGACCAAAAGAAGATCCGGACTGAGATCTAATCTAAGATCAACCCACATAAATAAACAAGCCAGCACAAGAAAACGTTTGACCTAGTATAGTACTATAGGTAGGCTTAGCTTGAGAGTGGGTTCCTAACTATTGAAATGCGGCTAGGCTGATATAGGTCCTCGTATAGGTCCTGACCTCCTGTTATAGGATTTCGTCCGGTCCTACTATACGTGGAGTTGCTTTGAGGAAAATGATTACAAAAGGGCGCTCACAGTTAAAGTTACACGTATCCCAACAGCCTCGACTCTCAAAGCTGGATTCCCCTCATGCCGTTAATGTGGATTTTGGGGGTTTCCCTGGCGTTCCTGGTCCAATGTGTGCTGGGGTGTGTAAAGAAGCACACAATGCACACAAAATAAGAAAGGAAATAAGTGAGCATTCGGCACTGGCTGTGCCAAGCGATGCGTGCTTCGAGGTGAAACTCGCTCGAAGCACGAGGGGTAAGCAACCCCTAAGAAGGTAAAGTCAGAACATGATACCAAGCACAGTCCGAGCTAAGTCAAGTGCGGCCCGAGTCGAGGGTGACTCGAACGGGATACGGTTCAGGGAAAGTGCAAGCAGCCCTCAATGTATGTTTTTATTTTTTAATTTTTTTTATCTTTTTAACTTTGATGGAACACAGTTAAAATAAGTATGGTGAAAGCAATAAAAATATGGTTTCAGTCAAAATTAACAAACTAAAATAAAATAAAAAAGTAAGAAACAGCACAGACCTACCTGAAGCAAAATAGTTTTTTGTATTTTTCAAAAATTTATTTTAAGTCAAAACATGATCAAAATGGACCCAAAAGTCCCTAGAATATGCATGTGGGGTCCTAAAGTTTTTCTAGGAGACATGTAGTTGGGCGACACATGTGGTGTCGTCTGGGCGGCACTACTGGTGTCGCCCAAAAATTTCATTTATTTATTGTTATTTGTTTATTGTTAATATTAATGAAATAAGACTACTTTAAACTTGGAATAATCAGGAAAACATATATTTATGATGAAATTAATAAAAACAAAGCAAAGTAGGACAATGTAGATAGAACAATAAAATATTTTTTTGGTATTTTAAAAATTTTATTTTTTTCTGAAAGTTTGTGAAAAGTCACAAAAGAGACTCTAGAATAGATTTGAAAATTTTCAGAAGATTATAAAACTTTCGAATTTTGGGCGACACGGCTGGTGTCGCCTAGAAAAATCAGGGTTTCGCAGCACGGAAACCCTAGATCCTGGTTACTGCAGATTCTTGGGACTTTTTGTGATAGAAAACAGTGAAAAACAGCGTATAAAAAATGTATTTTGGGGCTTGTATCAAGCTCGAAATGCCCCACAGTGGGCGTCAAACTGTTTATGATACAAGATCTGGCAATCTGGTGAAGATCTCTCATATCTGTCACGTTACACTTGTGAAAATACAAGAAAATAAAGTGGTAAAGAAAGCGAGACAAATCAAATTCATATCTGAGGCTAGATCTACCCGAAAATGAGCAGATTTACTCTCAGATCTGTGGTAGCACCAGCATGATCCAAAAACATCCAAAACACGATTTTTAAGCAAATTAACCAAAACAGATCAAAATAAAATTTAAATAGTAAAGTAAGAATAAAAGAAGGAAGAAAATGATACCGAACCGGGCCAAATGGCCCCGGACTCCTGAGCCTTCTAGGGCTCGCCCGCATCAGAACCGATCCTCTTGTTTCTCTTTGGTTCGGATGTTGACCAGTAAATCACTTCAGCAAAGGGTTTTTATTCCCTAAGTCTAGTTTTGATCTAGCGTTGTTGTGCCCTAGGTCTAGGGTTTCTCAGGCTTAAGGGTTAGAGTCTCAGGAGGCTAGGGTTTGTATCTCTCTGAAGCTCTTTCTATCTCTCTCTCTCT